TAGAAAACAATATCAGTTATTGATTTTTTTCCCTAATGATTTAATTTGCTTAAGAAATACAAAAAGAACCAATAAAACATAAAGGCTAATCATATAGGATTGTAATTGTTTCTAGAGGAAGAGATATAAGGCCCTACAGGCCAATTAGAAACAGGCTGTGGTATAAGGCTGAGTTACAGTATAGCTAAACTTCAGGGTGCAGTATTCTCCCAAAACATAGGGGGCAGTGCAACACATAACTAGTGGAAAGGTAGTAAGAAAGAGAAGAAATGCTTCACTGTGATCCCTATCCCTATTATCTTAATTAAAGTTCTTGACACATAAGTAAAACCGAGAAGAAATCACCTTTTGAGCTCGTTGTAAAGGATGTAAAAGTGTAAAATGTTTTAATTGCAGCAACTTTTCTCCAACCTTTTTATCCGACTCTCTTTTTCCTGTTCTTAAAGATCGTGCAAAGTAGAAATAAATGTTTTTTAGTTTTTCCCACCACAGACATGTTTTTTTTAATCACCCATCTGAATTACAATGATTTAAAACACAAAGTAAATAAAATTAGGTCTCAAAAGTAGGGAAAAAATATTATTTTACATTTTTAATTCAGAAGGAATCTGGTGACACTTTGCACATATGACTTATGTTCAATAGAGAATAGGAGAGTCGCTCTGCACTCTGATCGCAGACACTGGTTGCAGCAACTGCGTCTGAGTCCCTGTGTTTTGGAGGAGAGAGGGGATTGCTCACAGACTGTTCACTGAAGACTGTAAACTCGGAGCGATGCTCTATCTATACTTACCAAAAAAGATCCTTGTTTTACTCTTTAATCAGAAACCGCTTACATTAAAGGTATAGTGGAGGATTTTTGCAAATTTTTAAAAAAGACCCGCCGTCTCCATATGCATATGCACAAACCTGTACCCGCTAACGAGAGGGAAGGTATTAAACGCGCACGAGAGCGTGCACGAGCCCATTTCTCATCGTGCACGCTCTGTTCAAAAGTTGCTGTTTGCGTCGCTCATACAGGCTTGCTTTCCAAAAGAAGATTTGCAATTTTTCCACTAAGTCACAGAAAAATATCACCAGAATGATTGACAATTAGGCGGACCACTTATTTAGATGATCCACCCCCCCAAAAAGAAAGTCCTCCACTATACCTTGAATGCGTTTTCTAGCTTCCTCCTCATAGAAGAATGGATATCCTGTTTTTTTTAGGTTGGCTCTGATATTTACTAATTAGCTGGATCACATGTCTGTGATTTTATATCAGAGATCTAGTCCAGTGCATTTTACATTGATCTATTATTTCTTACCTTTTGCTGCTTACTTGTTAATAGATAATGTAAAGTATATTTATATTTGTGTTAACTCATTACCTGCCTTTTTTTTTTTAACAATGCTTATGTCAAGGCTAAAGTACGGAAGAGGATTAGGGCCACTGAAAAAAAAAAAAGTTAACTGATTTTTTAATTTTATTTCTTTAATCTCAGAATTCTGACTTTTTTCTTAGAATTCTGAGATTAATCTCAGAATTCTGACAGCTAACAAACATGTAAGCATCAAGCCATAGCCATGTCTGTTTTAGAGACTAGCTCTCTTGTTTTATTGACCTTCTGCTCCTCCATTAATGAGGGGACCCCTCGGGCACGTAAAAAGTTGCCTAATTCCGTCATTTTCCACCAATGTGTCACTGGCCACGTCAAACAACTCTCATCTTTGTCAGTGAAGCTGAGTGTTCCCACATCTCCTTCTTCATGGTGCCCATCTACATTAAGATCCAACATTCTGAGATTAAAGTCAGAATTCTGAGATTAAAGTCAGAATTCTGACTTTTCTTCCCATGTTAAACTGAAATAAAGTTTAAAAATCAGTGAAAATTTTTTTTTTCAGTGGCCCTAATCCTCTTCCGTACTAAAGCCTTCACTCATATGGCAAAAATATAAATCATTCAGCTGCTGAATTAGATCGATATCTGCTGATATGCTCAGCCCAGGTATCAGTATCGGATTGGATCAAAAGAAACTGGATCGATGCGTTTCTAATTTTCATGTTGCATTTGACTGTCGGTATAAAAAGCACTTTATGCAGAGGAGGATTTGGTTTAGGTCACATATGTCCTCCGTTCTGGTGTCCAAATAATCCTAAACTCGTCCTCCAGAGGTTCTACAGCAGGGTGACCAAACTGCGGTCTTTAATGTATGCTTAATGCAGACAATTTATGTAAGGAATCATCCAGATTTCCGTTTCTCTAAAGCACACAAAGAGATGAATAATTTATTAGAGGGAGCTGGAAGAGTTTGTTCTGCTAGCAGCGAAGCAAAGAAGTTAGAGAAGTCCGTTTCTTGGTACCGTTGTTTATAACTGGGTAAAGAATGGTTTGTTAAACACTAAAAAAAAAAAAGAAGAAAGAAATCACTGGAATGTAAATAGGAGCAAAGGTGAAGGCAGTTGGTGGGAATGCAGCAGTAGGACGAAGGGATGAGGAGGTGGATGGATGCAGAGGAGAGATGGCCTCCAGCCAGAGGCTCTGCAGTAAAAATTACATAACAGCCGCCTGATGCAGGAGGGGACTTCCTCCAAAACGCTGTCTTCTAAGGGTTCGACGGGAACGCTCCTTCATTTTCATTCATTTGCAAATTGATTAGTGTGGTTTTAAAGAAACTTGTGTAGCTGGATGAGAAAAATAGCAACAAAACCTTCTGAACACTTCAGGCCCTGCATGCCATTCATGGTTTAATCCAAGTCAGGTGAGCAGATAAAGGTGTAAAAACATAGCCTTATTCCTGAGGCCCCCTCCCGTATGACCCGCAGTGCACGGCCACCTTCCTCTGCACCTCATACATCACTGTCTGTGCTTTGGTGTGCATGGGTGGCGGTAGGGAGGGGGTTGGTCCTGCGTACGTGTGTGCTTTAACAATCGGGTGCAACTGCAGACCCGGCTGCGGCTTTGACATTGAGACCAGAGGTGGCTCCCATCATGACTTCATTACCCTTTTATGATTGGTTTGGTGATGCCTCAAAGCCTCTAGATGAGCCCTGATCGTCCCACCTCCCTCTGTTTACCACCTCCTCCATCAGCCAAGATTCACAACCTTTTGTTTTCTTTATGGTTTAATAAAAACACTTATTTTTTAGAGCCAATTTTTGTGTGAACATAATTTTAAATGAGTAAAATATACGCTTTAAGGCATGTTGATTCGTCCCAGAGTGGAATCATTTAACGCACCTCTATTTCTTCTCTCAGTTAGCACATTTAGTCACCTGAAGGGACACATGCAAAAAAAAAACGACAATTGGGTGTTTCTGCTAAAATTTTTGAATGATGGTGTCAATTTAGTAACTTTAAAAATAAGACCTTAAATCAATGCATTATTTGCAGTAATAGCCTGCTACTGTTCTTATCTTTTTTAATCTTTATTTTCAAGGCGATTCTTGGAGACTGTTCCTTTTTCTTCCTCCATTTAGATGATAAAAATGACACAATGATGAGAAATAAAGGGGTGCACACTTGGCTTTTTATTTTTTATCAGGAGCACTAGTGCTCCCCAGATGGAAATATTTAGCAGCACAGACAAAATTTAGGGATCCGATGAATTATTTTTAAATAACAACTCACAATAACAAGGACTGTTTCTTGAGGCTGCTTTTTTTAAGTCACAAATGCCTCTTATAACTTTCGTAACTGATTTGCTCTGTGTTGTCCCCATAAAAATTTATCATTAAATTTTTCAAAGGAGAAAAAAATCCCTCTCTTTCTTATTTTTCAATAAAAGGCAAACATATATCTTTACATAAAAGAAACCTGACTTATTTTAGGGGCAACATGCAAATAAAAAGAGTGATATATATATATATATATATATATATATATATATATATATATATATATATATATATATATCGCACTGAATGAAAGATCTTT